CATGACCCTGAGATCATGACCTGAGCCCAAATCAAGAGTCAGACGCTCAACAAACTGAGCCACCCAGACACCCCTCAAAGCTACTTTTTATTGCTCTCCCTTTTATTCATCATTCAGTTGGCTACAAGATCATTTCCTCTAAAGAACCACCCTGATCATTCCTCTCCAGAAGTAAAAAGCTTCTCATACTTGCCTAACTGTGACTAGGTCTGCCAGGTGCCTCCATGATATTCTTTTATAACCAAATTTCATTTTACTTCTGGATAGCAAAGTACCCAACTACATTTTCCAGATTCTTTTACAACTAGGAATTGGTAGAATGCAGGTAAAAGTTGTGGGGTGGGAATTCTGGTAATGCCTCCTAAAGAGGAAAAACATAGCTGTCAATGGGTGCCTTTCACTTTCCTCTTCCCATCTTTCCTGCTGCCTGAAATTTGTACGTGAGGGCTAGAGCTCCAGCAACCATCTTGAACCAAGAGGTAACCTTAAGGATAAAGTCGTGTGTAAAGAATAGAAATACAGAAAGATAGAAGGTGCCTGAGTCCCTGATGATTGTAGAACTACCCCCTGTTGCTGTGGAGAGAAAAATACTTTTGAGCGTTTGTCACTATTATTTATGGTTTTCTGTTATGGGCAGGTCCCAAATAGTAGCTTATTCTCTCCACTAATGGAGCTATTTCTCCAATCCAGTCAATGTAATATTTTGATTAGTTTTGAGCCATTGCTTCTCTTCTTAAGACAGGGCTTACAGATAGAAAGACCTAAGTTCAAGTCCAGCCCTGCCACTGTGACAATTATGTTCTTTAGGCATTGCTTCTGTTCATTTTGCCCTCAATTTTCTTGTCTGGGAACCAATAATAATAAGAATTATTATTATAAACAACAACAATAATAAACAATAAACAAATATATATAATATTATTATTAATATGCACATTAAAGTGTTTGTTACTTTTCTTTCATTCTGTTTTTCAGTTATTATCCCAATGGCACCAATAGGAAAAATAGTTGAGGAAGGAAAGGGGGATAAAACTCAAATCAGGATATTGTCCCCGTTGTTAACAGTCCTTATAAGCAGCTGAATAGATGAAAGTTTCAGATTGCTGATTTTTAGTAGTCAATGGGAGAAACTATCAATAGATTGGACTTCAATTATTGACATTTTACCCTCATTCTCATGAATAACTAGAATCTGACTACACACATGTTGCATTGTCTTAAGACCACTTGAATGCATACATACATGCATTCATACATTTTAAGAATGTAGGCTCCAAGAGAATTCACTTTCCCCAAATCACTGGGATGGAGGAGACACACAATTTCTGTCTTCCATTTTCCATTTAGAAAAGTTGACTCTTAATGATGTGAAGAAACGGTTCCTTTAAAATGGGCATAAGATTGCAAAAAAAAAGCACATTCTGCCCAAACTCTTAGATCGTGTAATTTCATTTTTGCTCTTATGCACATTAAACTAAATTGGTTAAATAAAAACCTTGCTCAATTAAATTTGATTCGATTAGGAAATTTATGCGTGCAAAGCATGGAATGTGTTGGTTAAAATAGGTTCTGGTTATTTAAAATGTTATTTTCTATGGATGGTTCATTTTTGCCATGGCGTCATTAGTGAACTAAATTTTTGTTAATGTGGATCAATCTTGGGAGTTCAATAGGCCTTGGCCCTTTGTTGGGAAATCACTCAAGTAGTAGAGAGTTTGTCTGCATAGTCTCAAAGGCTGGAACATTTGAGTATCTTCAAATCCTTCCTGCTCCAGCTCCACATGACCCTCTCTTACCTTTCCTAACACTGCCATCATTTCCTTTTCAAAAACATTTTCTGGGGCATCTGAGTGGCTCAGTCAGTTAAAAGTTGGGCTCTTGACTTTGGCTCAGGTCATGATCTCAGGGTCCTGAGATCGAGCTCCACATCAGGTTCCAGAAGCTCCTCTGCTCCTCTCCCTCGGCTCCTCCCTCCCCCCAAAAAGCTTCCTCTGACTGACTATAAGACAAAGACCATATGATTTCACTCATACGTGGAATTTTTAAAAAAGATTTTTATTTACTATTTATTTATTTATTTATGTATTTATGTATGTATGTATGTATTTATTATGATGGGGGTGTGTGTGGGATGGGGCAGAGGAAGAGGGAGAAGCAGGGAGTCTGACACGGGGCTCCATCCAGGATTCTGGGATCATGTTCTGAGCTGAAGGCAGCCGACCAACTGACTAAGGCCCCCAGGCTCTCCCATATGTGGAATTTAAGAAACAAAACAGATGAACATAGGGGAAGGGAAGGAAAATAAAATAAAATGAAAACAGAGAGGGAGGCAAAGCATAAGAGACTCTTAACTATAGGAAACAAACTGGCAGTTGCTGGAGGGGCAGGGGTGGGGGGATGGGGTAACCGGGTGATGAGCATCAAGGAGGGCACTTGATGTAATGAGCACTGGGTGTTGTATGTAACTGTTGAATCACTAAATTCTACCTCTGAAACTAATAATACAGTATATGTTAACTAATTGGAATTTAAATTAAAAATTTTTTAAACCATTAAAAATAAACACTAAAAAACAAAACATTTTCCTTCCTTCTGCCCACTTAGGGTTCTCATCAGGCTCTAAATGCAGATTTGGCTGCTGGGTCCCATCTGGCCTGGTCTATGTCCTTAGTTGCACTTCAACCCAAACAATTACCTTTCGTGTTACTGCAGGACTTCTAAAACACACAAATAGAAAAATTTAAGTAGGGTTGGCTCAAAGTATTTCAGGGAAAAGGAAGTATTTTTTTAAGGGTCAAAGTGCCTATTGCAAAGGTGTAGGCACAAAGCCCATCATGTGAGAGTACTTGACACATGCCCAAAGCAGAAAGACCGAACCCAGAGTAGTCCTATTCTACAGGTGTCTCTTGAGCCCTGAATCCCAATCTCTGTCACCAGAAGTTCCACTCCGCTAAGATACGGGAGAGAGAATTTTGCATTTCATAGGTGATGGAAAAGCACTGAGATGAGGAAGCAAAGGATTAAAAAATTATGAAGGCTTTCTGGAGCATTATCACTAGTACATGTATAGTACATGTCAAAGCAATGCACGCATCAAGTACTGTGTTCAAGATTTCCACTCTGTGACTGCCCACATATCACCTTTTAGACACATCACAGGCTAGAAGATCCCAAAAGGTAGTCCGTGGTTCCACTGTCTGGTATTCTCTGAGAAATTTTTTTCCCCCAGCTTTGGTGATTATTGAACAAAGAAAGTTCTGGAAGAGGAGCATGGTCTCCTATCTTCTAAAACTGCATAATGACCTTAGAGCCCACTCAATAAATAGTCCACAGAGCTTTAAGGAAGTTCATTAGTATTTTCAATATTTAAGGAAGCTCATCAGTATTTCTGTATTAAATGCCTAATTCATTTATCTGTTTGCCTTATTTTCCCTCTTTGTTTTTATTTTTTGATGGAGGCATAATTTATAGACAGTAAAAAGCACAGAAGAGTTTTGATAAATGCTATGTAGCCCACACTTCTATAAAGATATACATTTCTATCACCCCAGAAGATTACCTTATGCTCCTTCCCAGTCAATGTCCTCTTCTCCTCGAGGTAATCACTATTTCAATTTCTATCATCATAGATGAGTTTTGCCTTTTCTAGAGCTGTATGGAGATGGATTAATACAGTGTGTACTCTTTTGTGGCTTAGTGTCTAATGTCTCATGTTTGAAGCGTGTATAAAAATCACCTCTTAGTTTCCTTATCTGTAAGTGGCAGGGATCACCTTGTAAGAATGATGTGCCAGTATCCCTAGGAGTCGGGAGGTCTCCTGGGAATGCTGAGGGGGCCTGAGGAGTCACCTTGATTGGGGTGGGTGAAGAGAGGCTGAAGGGTGGGCTCTGCGGCAACCCTCCTCCCCTTCAAACAGAACAGCTGAACTTTTCCATGTCTTACAAATTGGGATTCCCTGGGAGATTTCATGTGGGAAAAGGGTTCTTTGTAAAAAAAAACAAAACGTTAGAGAACCGCAGGCCCAGGTGATCCTCACTGATACTTTTCCCTTGAACATTCTATAAATTGCAAATAGTGCTTTCTGATATGAGAGCTTTGACTGGCTCCCTTGAGGGAGGGCTGGGAGACAGAGGCAGCCAGACTGGGGGCCCCCAGGGAGGGCCTGGGCACTGAGCACTGTAATATTAGTGGTGGTTACCATCAGATAGCGCCACCTGGACTGAGGCGCCTAGACAATAAGCCAGAGGCCCTGGGCAAAGGGAGGTACAAAGACAGCATTCAAAAGACCCACTCTCACAGCTCAGGAGCATCTCTATAGACTTCACCAGACCCTGGCCCCGCCGGAATGTCACCTGACAGCCAGAAAGCCATTTATCACGGTTAGCTTTCAAACTGCTAAAAATAATAAACACAGAAAGGAAAGTGCTGACATAATCTTAACTGCAGAGACAAACTGAAACTGTTGTTATAATAATGTAAACAAACTGGGTTCCAAATTATAACCTAGCCTTCCAAACAGGCTGCTTGACATTACCAAACATCTGCGGACCAGCAGGAGAATTGAGAGCTTGTCTGGGAAGCAAGGCGATGTGCACTGTGCAGGTGCCGAGCCCTATCCCACGGGCTCTAACCCACCACGTAGCTACTCCTGACACTTTCTTTTAGCACCCAAGGAAAAGGCAGTTGGAGAGGGCTTCTAGATCTTTCTTGAGCACAACTTCCCCACGTAACAAATGAAATACGGCTCCTCTCTCTCTTTGTCCGATTATTACTCTTCTCGCCCTAAATTAATTCTTGCAGACTTCCTTTTCTCCATTATGTTTTTCCAGCCCTTTTAATGTTTTATATTCCTCCTGAATACTTACAGAGGTCACAACTATGTTAAATAACAACAGCCACAATGCCACAAATTAGAAGGTAATTCCCCTAGTGCTAAAAAGTGACAATTAATCATAAAGATCACGAGTCTGCAAACAGCCAAGTCAAGCCTGACATCTGACCTTCTGATCCATTAAATCACGTGCAGAAGTTGGCACCCACGCAGGCCGGCCAATGGGAGGGAAACCGCAGATCTGGAAAAAAGGAAACACAGAAGGTAAATAGAAGTGTTTTGTTTTTGTTTTGTTTTTTTTTTAAGTTCCCCAACATTTGTTTAATCTGCAACTGCTCTTCTATCTATGCTTAAATAGGGTTCGGTTTCAGAGCTGTCTCTGATTCTGAATAAATGCAAATTAGACTGAGATAAAACTCTCATTCCAAAGGGGAGATGGTTTCAGAGAAAGGAACTTGAGCACAGAAGTTTAGTAACACATCATAGGCATAGGACAACGTTTGTGGATCCCAAAGACCTACTTTGCTGTGGACAAGACTCAGGAGCTTTGGATTGCCAGCCTGGGAAGATGGTTACAAGGCAAACGTAAATCTTAAACAGTTTAGAGATTTTGTGCTAACGAAGGTACGGCGGGCCTCAGAGCACGGTTCCCAGGATACGTCTCAACCAATAGAGTCAGCCATGCCTTGTGGTGAAATGACAGGAATTCATCAGGGGCCGTATCTGGGCTTGGAACTATGGAGCTGTCTAGATTGTGTTCAGTGTGATCATGCTGGGAATACTTCTCACACGTATAAACAGGTGAAGGAGACGGCCAAACAGACCGTGGCATCTAGTTGTTGAGCAGAAGATGGTTTGGAGAGTCTGTGTGAAGAATAAGCGAGAAGCTGCTTTTCAGTTAACTGTGGTCCCGCAATTTTTGTGGTTGTTGTGAGGAACTTAGAACTCAGAAAAACAGAGGTTAGTAGAGCAAATGTCTGCGTTCCTGCTGCCTCGAATAGACCATTGATAAATTTTGTCGTAGCTGCTTTTTTTTTTTTTAATTAAAAAATAGAGAGCATAGGTATAATCTTGACAACCCCACTCTAAGGCCAGACCATGAATTTCTATTTTTCTAGTCCACTTTTTTTTTTTTACATTTACATACAATATATGCATCCAGGACAATGAACGGTGCTTGTGCATTTCAAATTTATCTCTATGATATGAATCTCTGTACATGTATATCTACCATTCTCCATTTTTGACTCGACATTGTCTATGTGAGAGCTAACCATGTTGGTCTGTCACATTCCCTGTAGCTGCCACATCGGATGAATATATGCTCAAGTAATTGTCTTTTCACTCAACACCCAACATTTATAGCACCATAAAAGCACTTGTTATGTCATTAAAGTGATTGTTGGGTGTGTGGGCGTGCATAAGCATGTGCGGATGTGTGAGTTTCCTCTGTGATGGACTCTGAGCTCCTCAGGATGCTGTTGTGTCTTGTTTTCACTGTGGCTCTTTTACTCCATGACTCCAAGCAGAAGGGATGCTTGGTGTGTTAAGAGGCAAAACAGATTTGTTAAAAATTGATCGGCTTGTTATTCATTTTCCTCCCTCTTAAAACAACAGGACGGAAGACTTTGGGGTTGTATTTACCTGCTTTCATCAGTCTCTGTCCATTGCTCTTGTAACAGACTTTAAATCCTAAGCCATCAATATCACCTCACTGTTTGCTAGAACATCAGAAAATCGGATAGCACGAGGCTGAAGACCAAGACATTTTTAAGAAGCGTATTCTAAAAGCGTTCTCAAAGAATAAATGGACAAGCCCAGGAAGAAGCTAGTGTTTGTAACTGTCGTTGTGGCTTTATGTGAATATAAGTAACTATACACCACTATCCTTGACATTGATATTTAAAAACATCAGTGCCTTTTTGTAGGAAAATACCATTTATTTTTTGAGGGTATAAGTCTGATTTAGATTTTGAAGAATATATGTGAACCTGACTCAGTGAAAACAACCTAAAAATTCTCACGTCATGATTCATAATAATAAGCATCTTATACATAACCTTTATTAAGAACATTTTGTGGGCTGGGTTGTGCTAATCTTTTACCTAATTTCACTTAGTTTAATCCTCACAATGATCATATGACCATTTTTCAGATGAGGAGAGGAGAGGCACGGGAAGGTTTAACATTTTTGCCCAAAGTCAAACAGTGAAGAAGCAGCTAGCCAGGAATTTCACCCCGGTAGTAAGATATCATGAATTACTAAGAACAGGCCCAGGTTTTAAGATAAAACTGCAGAGAAGGAAATTGAAAAACAATGTGACTGAGGGTGCTTCCAAATTTTGCCATAATCCCTACAGAGAGTACTCTTTCATCATGTGCCTCAAACCAAATTAGAGTACTCCAACTAGACAAATTCAAATGATTTCTTAGTGATGAAGGAAATTTAAAGTAGCAAGATCAAGCCCCAGACCTTTCCAACTTAAGCATACCCATTTTGAATTCTTCTTCTCTTTAGAAAACTGGGGGCCATGAATTTGCTCATGGCTCAAAGGAGCCTGCCCAGTTGTTTACATGAGATTCAAAGCAAAAATGAGAATCACTCCCTGGGACAGCTTTAGCCTAGAATGTGCGCTCTTTACACACTTTTAATTGGGGCACAAATATATTAACAGTGTGGTTATTTTGTACTTTCAAAAGAATCTGTTTTGTAACTGATTCATGTTTATACTTGGAATATATTTATTTCTAGGCATGAAATAGTTCATTTTGTTGAGCCATCTGACCTGAGGTGAAGTTGGCACGATTTCCCGTGACTGCTCCCAATTAATGCAAATTGAAGGTTAAAGAATAAATAAAGTTCCTTTAACTTGGTTTATTAATATGTTATTTGTAAATGGCTCTTCACCTGGTCAATTTCTTTTTCAGTCAGTAACTATGTACAAATGAAACATTCTGAACCAACGAGCAAAAACACCATGTGTATTTTGTTGCAAAGTTTTTGTTTTAAAAGGGTTAATATGGCAAAAAAAAAGATAATAATGTCATCCGTTTATTTATCCTTCTCTTTAGTGTCAGTTCTGAAGTCTGAGACATACTATATTGCATTATGGCCTACATTCTTAACCCCTCCCTGTACCTACCTTTTTGTCACGTAATGTTGCACTAAAGAGTCTGAATCTAGTTTACTGTCCCCTTTGAGTCTGGTTTTGGCCATATGACTTGCTTTGGCCAGTGCAACATTATCATGTATGCTGCTTGGAGCAGCCTGAAAAAGTTCTTGTTACGCTCATGTGTTTTCTCTTGCTTCCCTGTGATTGCCATGAGAAGATGCGTCAGCGAGCCTGTCACAGTTGAGAGACACCAAATGAAGTTGACTCATGTCAGCTGTCTCTGCCAAGGCTGTCCTGGATCAGCCTAGACTAGTCAGGCCGTGTAAGTACGAGAGCCGAGGCAAGATGAGCAGAGCCACCTAGTTGACCTCCAGCTAACACACGTGAGGGAGTGGGCCCAGCTGGAAGTTGAAGAACCACCCAGCCAACCCTGAGACTCTTAAACTTATAAACGCCAATTGTGTCTAACTATTGAGTTTTGAGGTAATTTGTTACTACCCCAAGTAACCCTATTCAATGCTACTGTGTACTAGATAACTGATACCGGACGTATGTCTGGTTCACTTAAAAAAAAAAAAAAAGATGCCCACCTTGAAGATGGTTTAAAATTAGGTAATAAAATTCAGCAAATACCCACCAAATGAGCTGTATCACTCAGGGTTCAACCAGGAAATTATAAATTGGTCTAAGCAATTTTTTTTAAAGATTTTATTTATTTATTTGACAGAGAGCGAAAGCCCGCATAAGCAGGGGGGAGTGGGTTAGGCAAGCTCCCCACTGAGCAGGGAGCCCGATGCGGGGCTCGATCCCAGGACCCTAGGAGCTGAAGGCAGACGCCCAACTGACTGAGCCACCCAGGTGCCCTGGTCTAAGCATTTAAATAGAAGGACTACAATGTAGGAAATTCACCACGCAGGTGAAGGGAAAGATGTGAAGGCCAACAGGAGAATGAGGTGTGCAGGGACTGAATAATTGCAGGAAATCCTTGAGCTACAGGGCAGAAAAGAGTATCAGTATTGGGGTCCTGGGGCCAAGGTCACCCAGCAGAAGCTCAAAGGGCTCTCCAGTTGGAGCTGAAGCCCTAGAGGAGAGACGCAGCCTTCATCTAAGATACTGTGTGAGGCAGGCTGTGTAAAGGAAGAAATACCCTGGCTTCTCTCTTCCTTCAGTCTTCCATTTTCCCTCCAGGGCTGGAACGCAAATGGAGGCCAACTGGACTCAGACGGGGCCAGCACAACCCTCTGGGGCAAGCCTCTCGTAATGCAAGGGATGGAGCTGAGGGCAAAGTGAAAATACATCACCATGATGTGCAAGACACTATACAAGGTGTTACTCAGTGCTGAGGGCTACATCGGCGGAATACTGAGAATCAGAAAGACTGGGCTTGAAGGTTAGAAAGGGCCTGACAGATAAAAAGTGGGGGAGAGGATGTTCAGGTAGCAGAACTGTGGAGGCAAAGTGCGGGCAGTATTGGTGGAAACAGCGTGTGTGCTGGTTCGGCCTAGAAGGCTGTGCATTTGGGAGGAGGAGGCAGGGGTGGGGAGGGGACGATGGGGCTACAAAAGTGAGAACTTGAAGGAGTCTGGATTCCAATCAGACTGGACTCCTGTTCTGAAGACATCAGGAAATAAGATGATTCTGAGCAGAGAGTAACATGCGCATTAGGAGCGTTGCTCTGATAGAGACTGGAGGGACATAGATTGGAGAGAGACAACTAGACTAGGGGTTTTCAATTAAGTGCAGACCTCAGAGAATTCACAACCCTTCTGAACAAACTGGCAGGACTTTGTGTAAGCATTCAGTTTTCTGAGAGATGGTATGTAGCTTTCACATGGCTTTCAGTGGAGCCCATGACCCCTGATCCTATCAAAAATGGTAAGCACAGCAGCAGGGAAGCAATCTCGAAAGCTCCTATAAATACTTCTTTTAATGAAGATCAAAAATTTAACAGTAGCAGTGGTAATGGAAGGAGTAAACAGGCAAACATTTACGAGGCACTATCTAAACAAATAATCTACATGAATGTGAACAGAAATAAAATGAGAATGAGAGATGCCAAAAGGTTTAACTCTGGGCTAGATCTGTCTGCTGCTCCTTTCCCTCCCCATATAAAACAGAGAAAAGCAAT